CAATTCCTGTTTCCAGCACCTGGTGGGGACAGGAGGGTTCTAGATGGCCCTGAGAAACCCTGGTAGGGCATGTGGAGGCAGGATGGGTTCTCCTCCATGGCACAGTGCAGAAGGCTCAGGAGACAGCCTCTGGCCAAAACGCAGTGGTGAGGACTGACTGTGATTCGAGAGAGGGACGAGCCAGCTTGTGTGTGGTCCTGATGCTGCATTGGATGTCTGCAGGGGGCAGGGATGGGCAGGAGCAGAACCTTTTGGGAGGGCCTAGCTGGAAAATGCGTGGATGCATCTGGATGAGCTTTCAAAGACACAAACTCCCTCCAGTCTTCTCATCTGTATGGTTTGGGGTGTCTTTGCTTTAGCACTGTGTCCTCCCAGCAGGGCAGAGATTCTGGGATGCTGCAGGAGGCTGCCTAGTGAAGATGTCTGGCTTCTCCCCTGCAGGGTCAGGGCATCACACCATCAGTGGGCTCTCCCCAGAGCCATTCCCAGGATGCAGAGAACCATATGTCCCATTTATAGGGAGGCCAGCGATGGTGCTGCAGCCCCACCAGCCCCCCTGAGCCCCCAGGCTCTCCTCTGGCACCAGCTTCACCCCATGCTGCATTTCCCGGGAGGCATTTAAAGTACCACCAGCCTGTGGAGTCCGGGCTTCAGGTTCCCTTCAAATGCTATGTAGGAAGTGATGGGAGCTTAGCAGTTACGTGTATATGAATACCAGTCTTGATCAGAATCTGACTCCTGCTACGCAGAAGAGATTTCATAGGTGACATTCCTGTGACACTGCTCTTCTGTGAGCCCAGACAGATGGGCTAACACACAAACAGTGCTTGCTCAGTCCAGGGCTGTTCCCATGTCACTTTTCAACTTAGCAATGCACATAAACATATTTTACGTGTAAACTGGGCAATTAAGAAGGCAAATGTTTTAAAATACGAGGATTTATTGGCATAAAATTTGCCATCTATCAACACGGCATAAATAGTGTTACATAAAAAGCCATCTGGAATCGGGTTGTTTATCATATTTATTCAGTTACAACTTGCTGGTTTAGAGCCCGTGCCTAGCTCATTAACTGTCAAGACAGTTTGACGCTGCCGATGAGAGGTGGATGTATTTGATATGTCGCACGATGCGTGAATGTTAACTTGGGCTTTTAGGCAGCTGCACTATTTCAGACAGCTTGGACATGCTCTGCACTGGAATCGCTTTGAGAGAAAAAAGCAGGTTGTGATGCTGCTGTTCGCTTTAGACTCTCTGCATCAGGCTGGAAGCCTTGGGGTCAGGTGTAGGCGTGCATCTGACCCTCCCAGCTCGAGTGGAAGGATGTGTGGGGCTGGTGATGGCAGCAGGATTATCCATCAGTCAGGAACAATATCATTGTCATTGTTTTCAGACACTGCAAAAAGGAACACTTGTTGCACTCCCTGAAGAGGTGCCGGGTTCTCCTGGACTGTGAGCTCAGCAGGAGAAACCAGGGCTGCAAAGCACTCCTGTGCCTGCTGCAGATCACGGGCAGCAATTCAGGAGTCGCAGCATCAAGCCAACAGCCACTGGCTTTTCCTGACATTTGCTGTCTCCCTTGGTTTCAGTAATTAGATCCCCTGTTTTTAAATGTCAGATCTCATGAGGTGATGCTATTGTATTTAGTGCTGTGCCCTTCTACCGATTCCAAAACACTTTGCAGAATTACTATAAATAATCCAGTAACAAGTGTGAAATAAGTAGTTGCAGCAGAACGGGAGAGGAAGTCAGTGCGTCTCAGCGTTGCTTAGAGATGAGGCAAGAGCTTCAGAAATGCTGTCCCATGGAACAAGGCTGCCAGGGAGATGTTTGTCCATCCCACACTGTGGGGTGGGGGGGGGGAGGAGGGAAGGTCAGCTGCTGACATCTCGGGCAGCTCTGCAAAGGGGCTGAAAGGAGAAGATGACAATCAGAGGGGAGTTGGTCCAGCTGCAAGGCAGCACTTGGTGCTGCTAGGTGTTTGTGTCCTCAGCAAAGACTGCCAATCTGTGCCCAGATCTTAGTGCAGAGTTCCTCATCAATAGCACAGCAGAGATACCTTCTGCCAGCCTGCTGTTTAACCAACTTGTTGGTTTCATGCTCCAAGCTGGCACTAGCTGAGCTGCGTGCTAGGTGGCTGCCTGGTCTCCATTTACAGTCACTGGATCAAACAGCTGTGTGCTTTTCTCATCCTAATGCAGGTGTCACTTTTAGGAAGCAGAAGAAGAATCCCTCCTGTGTTTTGGCCGTGGGCTCCTCTATCAGTGAGGTTCACCCTACCATACAGAGCACAGAACTAACAATCCGAATCGTGGCACTTACAGGAAGATTTCAGCAACAGAGCATGGCCTTTCAGCTGACCAAAGCGTAAGATCTTGAGCTGTGGATTTGCATTTATAACCTTCACATGTCTATTTCTGGACAGATGCTGGGACCTGCAGCTGCTTTGGGACCTCCCAGCACAGAAGCACTCTGCTCTCCTATCTCAAGTGGGAATCAAGTGAGATTTTGACCTTTGCAAAGTGGTTTCGGGCAAGAGATGAAAACTAAGAGAAGTGTCATTTTTCCTTGTTCCATGTTCCCTGATCAGGCTTCTCAGGAAGAGCTTCAGGATGTGCTGCTGAGCTGTTTTGAGTCACACCTCTTTACAGAAGAAGCCTGAGGACTGCTGCAACCGGCTAGGATTTTCTATCACTGATGTGTTTTGTTGTACACTCTTTCAAGGGAGGTGAAACTTGAAACTAGCTTGCAGATATTTCAGAAGAGTTGTTATTGACATATACTGTGGTTGTGAAAGAACTGTTTATCTTTTCTCGATAGGGTGTATGATTCCAGGGTGCCTCACACAATCTGGTGCTCTACAGAGAGGAATGGTGATTGCTGGGATGGACAGCACTTTCCCATCATGGTGAAGAAAACCAAGGGAAGCAAACCACACTTTGGCTGCGCTGACAGCTGCTCCGGCTCATGGGAAGGAAGGGTCTCTAGCACGTGGCATAGAGCAAGCTGTGTAGCAGCAGCCTTTGGTATCAGGCTGCATTCATGCACGCTGATTAGCAATAACATCCTCACACAGTTCATTCAAGCTCTTCAGCAGTAAGTCCCAGGATGGATCCCAGGTAGAGGGAATGTCTTTATCCATTAAGCTGCTCCTGTTGTTATTAATCATGTAACAACTCTATTGAGGAACTTTATGCCTGTCACTGCATCACATCACATGCTGATGGCTGGTTGTGAATACAAATCTCCGTTTCCATGGCACAACCAAGACCCTGGAGCTCCTACACTGGGCAGGCAGGACCAGGCTTACTAAACAAACAAGCACTGTGGTGCTGCTGGGCATAAGACCAGTGGTGACCAACATCCCATGGATATCAACCACCACCTCCGTGCAGGCAGCTCTGATAAGTGGTTTTTGCTTGGCCTGTTTCCCAGTCCCCTGAAGAATTGAGGATTTTGGCTGCATTTTCAGCTGTTCAGCTTAAAACACTTCAACAGTCTCAGGCTGTTGAGCTGTAAAACACAAGGGGTGCATCTGCCAGGTTACAGAGAGGACTGGAGAGAGGCTGCAGGTTTTGGCTGTCTTCTTTGAGCGAGCTCAAACTTCTCATTTCAGAGTAGAAGCAAACTTTTAACAACTTAGTGCTAGGAAGCAATTAATCCCTTTCCAGGAGAGTCATACAGGCCCTAGCAGCTCTGTTGGTACCACTCGGAGAACATAAGACATGCTGGCCTAAGGACATGAAGAAACCAGCCAAAGAATGCTGTCACCGAGGACTCCCTTAAATACCCTCACTGGGAGAAAAATCGTGAGTGTCCTTAACTCTGCTTCTAAGTAAAGTAAGCAGAAGCTCAGCAAGAAGTGACTGGATGTCAGGCCAGCTAGAAAGCAGGACTAAAATGGAGATTTTTCAGTGTCCCAGTCATCTTTCCTGGAATTACTCGATTCTCCTATGTGGATGCAGAATGATGCAGAATGTCAGAGTAAATGGATTGTGAACTGATTCAGTGCCTAGATGTCAACTGCTAAGTAGTCTGAGATCCTCAAAAAATAAAGGGACAACTCATATGAACACTTAATTACTGACAGTGCGAGTCTGCCCTTTGAGTACTTCTTGCTGGTGCTTCCAGCAGAGCAGAGCTCCCCACTCCCCCGCCTTTCATCTCCTCAGGCTGCTTTTGTTTCATGCTGATGTGTGTTTAGGAACACAGAAAACAGCCTGTGGCATTTGTGCAGAGGCATAATGAAGGGCTCAGCAGGTTGTTTCTGTTATAGCCACATACATCCTGTAGACTTGGGTCAGCCAGCAGAGCTTTGTTCCCCTGGGATGCTGTGATGTGGAGGAGTTATATGCTTTTCTGATGTGAAACCACCAAACCTGCTTTCTCCTATAGCTAATAAGGGGCAAGGTGGCATAAGCACATGTATTAATGCAGCAGGCTGACAGACACAGCTCTGATAGAATTGGAATGGAAGAAATCATCAAGGGAGTAGAATAACAACCTAGCCAGGAGATAATAATAAAAGCCTGATAGCATTCGCAGAAGTTTATATAATGTGTTTGTCACTGGCCTCCTTCCTCCCTTGGCATTGGTGATAGGTAACAAATGGCATGCTGATTTCTGAAGAGCGTGTTGTTATCCAAACCACGAGGGCTGGCCACTGAGGAAGAAGTATCTTGCCTGCTTTCTTTGGCACAGCTGCCTGGCCACCATGAGCCCATGATATGGAAAGCACTACATACTATGAGGAAAGCAGGACCTACTCCCATTCAGGTCAGTACCACAGTGAATTTGCTGCCCACAGCTCACTGCAAACTTTAACCACTGCAAAAACACTTAATAGCTGGGAACCTTCGGATTTTCTTTATTTAGGCACCATTATGCAGGCTTTCCATGTGGGCAGAAACTCTGGAAACCACCTGCAGCTGTGTTTCTGCATCTCTGCCACAGCTAGAAACACTGGAAATTGGGGGAAAAAAAAAAAAAAAAAGAAAAAAAAGAGCCTGTTCTAATATTATTTTTCCTGGACAAATAAGTAAGCATGCCAACACTCAGATCCTTAACAAGACCAATGTCTGGAGCATGGAGCAGCCCACAGCGAAATTCCCCAGGGTTTCCTAGGAGCTGTGGGATGTGAAAAGAGGGACAGGGCAGCTCTGTGTTCAGGCAGGGAGAACCTGATTATAAATTTGTAATTCAGTACCAGAATTATTAACATACGTCACATTTAAAGCCCTTTATATGTGTGGTAGGCGTATTAACAGACTAATATGAAATTAGTGCCGTAGCAGCAGCCATGAATCATTCAGAGGCTTCCTTCTCTGCAACAAGCAGCGGAGCAATAGGCTTTCAGTTAGCTTAAAGTGGGAATATGGAGCTCTAGAAAAGCTGTAACCAGTCTAAGTCCAGCACAAAGCAACTGGTACTATGGGTCTGGACAAGAATAATGAATATGAATGCTTGCTGTCCCTAGAGCACACGTCCAGGAGGCATTTCCCACACTTTGCCCAGAAGGAAACTGAATTTGGTGACGTGGGAACTCCACACCTGGTGGTTGGTGATGTATTAACCTAGAAGATCTGCATGCCGGGATGCACGACTAATGCTCAGTTCTCTGCACATGCAGATAACTTGCAGTTTAGTCTGCTCCAACAGCTCCTCCTCCTTCTTGCAGTGGGGGCCCCAGGCCTAGATGCAGTACTGCAGGTGGGGACTCACAAGGGCAAAGCAGGGTAGGACGGTTCCCTCCCTGCCTGCTGCCACCTCTCTGTTGATGCAGCGCAGGATGCACTTGGCTGCAGGAGCACACTGCTGGCTCATGTCCTGCTTTTTGGCCACCAGGTCCTTCTCTGCAGCCACTTCACCCCTCGCTAGTTCCAATGGTCTGTTAACACTGGATCTCAGCCTGATGGAGGCTGGAGGAGGCAGACAGAGGAGAGAACAGAACACAGGGAAAATCCACAAGCACAGCATGGCCAGGATTGAATAAATATTGGCACAAGCAAGCACTGTGGCTGTTAAATTTTTACTATGGGCTTAGAGGAGGTGCTCTGAGTTTTTTGGGTCCCGACAGCATGACCTTGGCATGCGCCCCTGGGAGGGAAAGGTGCTGGCAGTGCTCCCTGGATTCTGCTCTGTTTCGGTTTCCCACATGGGTGTGGAAGAGCTGCAATCCAGGGACTTCTGAAGGTCTTCTGGCATGCCAGGAGCAGCTTGCCCAGAGCCACACTGGATGGGTGGCAGGAGATCAGGTGAGCTTTGGAGGTCCTTAGAGGGACGGCTTTCCTTGCCACCTCGTGGGCAGGGCTCTTTGTCAGCAGGCCTCCCGGAGCTCAGTTGTAGCCCACGTGCTGCCTGAGCCTTAGAGCTCTGCTCTGATACGGAGCCCACTGTCCCAGATGCCGTGGTGTTGGCAGACAACGCTGAGCTTAATGCCTTTCCTCATTCTCTGCAGTTTTCTCTGCTCTTAAAACTACTTCAGTGACAACGGATTTGGCATGCCTAAGAAGCAATTCTTCTTGCTCCTCCTGCTCTACTGTGGAGACAGCGTTTTCAATGCTGTCCTCTACAGTGCCGTCATGGTTTTATGATTTTTGATTATCGATAATCCACATCGTAACATCATGTGGTGCATTGGGAGTTTAAGACTTGATGCTCCAGTTCCAGGTACCGGTCCCAGAACAGAAGAACTACATCCCCCAGAGGACTGTTTGCTGATCTGTTACCGTTTCTGCTCAGAGCGCAAGACAAAAGCCATTTGTAGATCATTTGACCTTGCCTTTCCTTGTTGATCTCGGCAGCATATGAGCTCCCAAGATTGTCTCGCCTCAGCATTAGAGTAAGGACTTTGGTTTTCAAACACTCTTGTTTTTTTATTAGATTTATTAGCTCCAATTTTAATTATATGGTATTTATTGTACTATAGTGTGTTATCTTGCATTCTGATATTCAGTAAAGTAATTCGTTTCTCCTCAGATTGTCACCTGTTCCTGTTTTTTGGTCCACCTCTCTCTACTGATTTTCCCTTGTTTTCCCTTTTCCCTTTCCCAGGGCATGGATCCGTAGGTCCCCCAGCCCCACTAGTCATAGAATGAAGCCGAAACATCCCATAAACTGTTGACAAATGCTGTGACTCCGGTGAGAGACGTCAGCAGCATGGCCATGGCACGTGCCCCTGGGAGGGAAAGGTGCCGGCGGTGCCGGCATTGGTTGGATCACGGGCTGCTTTTCTCTCTGGCTTGTTGCTGGGCTCTGCTCTTCTGATGAGCCTCGTCCTTCTGTCCTGCTTTGCCATGACAGAGGCACCTGGGATGGCTGCAGCTGCCTCTGAGAGAGATGGTTGATGAGTAGCTCAATGATTTCAGAATATTTGCAGCCAGAGTCTTGATCAGACTGAGAAGCTACAAAGGATTGCAACATGTTCCAAACACTTCCAGCAGCTTCTAGTATGACTTTGTGAATGGAAGCCTGCGAGGATGCTTTGTCAGAGGCTTCACATACTCTGCTTTTCCTGTTTTGAAAGTTATTCCAGTGATGGACTGCTCCCACAGCCTGGCTGCTGGCCTTGGCTCAGGTGCACTGGCTGTGCTGGATTCAAATGAATGCTACTTCCAAGCTTGCTTCAGTATTCTCCCTGCAACATCCCAAGCCAGCAATGCCATTTCCTGCTCATGAGTGAAATGTGGCATCTTTGAAGGCTCTGCTCTTTTGGCACTTCTAAACACTTTCTGACTGCTCTTTTGGGGAGCCCTCCTTGAGGAGCAGACAGGACGATCCAGTGCCTTCAACTTCTCTGTTACTTCTTTCAGCAGAGTCCCCGTCACCTCTTGATGTCTCTCTGCTTGTTTTTCAGACATCGCTCTGAATTCACAATGTCCAGGGAACTGCGGTTTTGTTTTTGAGGCAGCAACAGAATGGATGCTTCTGTGGAGTTTGGAGCCTTCCCTGCCCAACTCAGGTTTAGGCAGCTTCTCAGGGAGCTTCATTGCACGTCCTGTGCTCAGTGAGTCTCCCTGAGGTTCGTGCTTCATCAAAGCCACATTCCTTCTTCTGTGTTGGCCAGACTGGAGATTATGGCCTGAAGGAGCAGGGCCAGCTGGTCTGTGAGGCTTCATGGGCCTGGCTTCCTTACCCACAATGTAATCCACAGGACCAGGCAGGAGCTCATCAGTGTCTGCCATTGGTCTGTGGACAGCTTTCTTCAAGTTGGATAGCTCCTGAAGAAACCTGTCCTGGAAGGGAACAGCAGGTTTAGGCTCAGTCTTGGCTCAGAAAGTGCTTCCAACCCTGCATGCTGATGCTTTGCGCCCATGAGGGCCAGCACTCTATTTCAGCCATGCAGTGAGGGCAGAAGTAAATGGCTGCCACAGTGCTCTGTTTGCAAGCAAGCAACATTCCAGGTCACCTGCACATCAGCATGCTGTGCTAGCTCAGCTCTGAGCTGAGTTGTCCTTTCCATGCCTCAATGCCCGGACCACCAGCCCAGACCTCACCTCTTCTGCATTCCCCATCTCCCTCGGATCCATCAAGTAAAGCCCGTGCCCTCGGTGTCATGCCACTGACACGTGCCTACCAATACCAGGTTTTGCCTACCTGTTTTTGCCTCTCTATTTTCTCCTGCTCCAGCTTCAGCCTGGTCAGGTACTGCCTGTACTCATTGAACTCTTTCAGAGTGCAGACAACCTACAGAGAGACAAGGGCAGATGACTGCCAGCAACTGTCCAGGTAGCTGCCCACACAGCCTTCCAGAAATGTGCAGGCCCCCAGCAGCAGGGGAGCTGCTCCTCTCCACCCTCCCCTCCCCAGCCGTGGGGACGCTGCCTCCTCCCTCCTTCCCAGGACCAGGGGGACTGCACACTGGGGTGCCAGGCCCTGGCCCCGCTGCCTGGAAACCCTTCCTGAGGAGACCTGTGTTGGTCAGCCCAACGTCCAAACCTACTTTGCCATCCTCGGTGACAAGGCCCCTGTTCTTCAGGTTCTGCAGGTTGGCCCTGCGCTTGTGGTAGTCCTGCAGATGTGGGTCATGCAGGCTGTTGTATTCTGTGCGCAGATGGCGACAGTATGGATCTCCCAGATCAAAATTAGGAGAAGGCTGGTGAAGCTGGAAGAGATGTGTTGCAGAGTGTGAATGGGGAAGGAGAGAGCAGCAGAGACAAAGATGCTTCCAAGCTGCCCACAGACACGGGCTGGCCTTTTGCATGGCCAGCTGGAGGAGGAGCATGCTGTGTGCATTTCCCAAACAGACACGTCTGGGTTTTTCTAAGTCCTCTGAGAGGGAGAGCAGGAGAAGGTTGCTCCCTCTTCCAGGAACGTCCCACTCTCTACATTTCTGACTGCCAGATGGGTGCCTGGCCCCGGCATCCCAACGGCATCTACGGGCAGGGCCCCAGCCACCTGCTTGCCTGGTGCCAGATATGGTGATGGAACTAGTGCCGGCTCCGTGTGGAGAGCCCAGCTTTCAGACCCTCTCCTGACCACTGGGCACTGCTGTTGGCAAGCCCTTGGTTGTCTCCCTGCTGTGGAGCCAGGAGTGTCCCTTCATTCCACCTTGCGGTGGGAGCAAAGGGCTGCAGTTCCCACTGTCGAGCAGGTCCCACAAGGCCTCCTTGGCAACCCAGGAAACAAGAGGCCCTTTGGACCCTTTCCTCGACCTCCTCTTACCTTTTCCCCCAGCTTTGTCCTGCAGAAGACATGCTTGGTGCCAGGCTGCACAGGGATTTTGACCCCGAGTGGGAGGTCCAGCAGCCCGCTACCTCCTGCTCCAGCTTTCTGTCCTCTGGGTTGGAGCTAGAAAGACAAAGACAAAGACACTCTTGCACACTCAGGCACTCCAGTGCCCTCTCCAGCCCCAGCCCCGTTCCCTTTGGCAGCTCCCTTCCCACTTCTGAGCCCGACGCTGGGATGTGCGGAGAGGCGCGATTCCCTGCAAGCCTTCTCCAGCGCCAGCATGAGAAGATGCCCGTCTGCCTCCAGAGAGCATCTCCGGCCCCAGAGCAGTCCCACAGAGCCCAGGCTGCTGCACTCAGCCCTCTCTGAGGACGCGGTGCTCACCTTTCCGCTCTTCCCCACGATGCTCGGAAATGCATCCGGATTTCGGAATCTAGCAGTGCCACAGCGCTCCATGGCTCCTTGCAGGAACTCTCCGAGAACTGCGACCTTCCGCTGCCACCTCTCGCTCCAGCAGCAGCGAACTGAGGCCACCCCAGCCGGAGTCCCAGCCTGCAGCTTTATGTCACGCTCACCCACTGTTGCATCACAATGCCATCATGATGTCACTGTGCCGCCACCCGGCAACCGTGCAGCTGCATGGAGGCCATGGGTGCCCTCACTGCAAGCTGCTCCAGCTGGCCCTGCTTTGAGCCTAAGAGGCTTGCTGAGGCCTGAGGCTTGCTCTAGGTTTCCTTGGCTTCCATCACAGGTGATGCTGCATGTGAAACAAACACCTTATAGAGTTGTCCGAGAGCCAGTATTTTAGTTAAATGATGCTGAAATAATGTGGAATGAGAAGAGAGAGCTGGCCTGTTTTTCTGTCATAGAGTCATAGAAAGGTTTGGGTTGGAAGGGACCCTTAAGATCACTTCATTCCAACCCCCTGCTATAGGCAGGGACACCTCCCTCCAGCCCAGGTTGCTCACAGCCCCATCCAGCCTGGCCTTCAATGCTCCCAGGGAGGGAGCATCCACAACCTCACTGGGCAACCTGTTCTAGTTTCTCACCACTCTCACGGTAAAGTTCTTCCTGATGCATAGTCTAAATCTACCCTCTTCCAGTTTAAAATCATTTCCCTTCATCCTGTCACTACATGCTTTTATAAAAAGTCGCTCCTCAGCTTTCCTGTAGGACCATTCAGGTACTGGAAGGTTGCTGTAAGGTCTCCTGGGAGCCTTCTCCAGGTGCAGAGCCCCAGCTCTCTCAGCCTGTCCTTGTAGAGGAGGTGCTCCAGCCCTCTGATATCCCCATGGCCCTCCTCTGGACCTGCTCCCACAGCTACATGTCCTTCTTGTTGGGGGCCCCAGAACTGGACACTGTGCTCCAGGTGAGGCCTCACAAGAGCAGAGCAGAGAGGCAGAATCACCTCCCTCCACCTGCTGCTCACACTTCCCTTGATGAGGCCCAGGGTACGTTTGGCCTTCTGGGCTGCAAGCGCACACTGCCGCCTCATGTTGAATCTCTCCTCAGTTGACACCCCCAAATCCTTCTCCTCAGGGCTGCTCTCAAGCCATTCTCCACCTAACCTTTATCTGTGCCTGAGATTGCCCCAACCCAGATGCAGGACCTTGTACTTACCTTTGGTGAAGCCATTTTGATTACCACCAATCACCTTGTCTTTATTTTCCATGTGCTGTAGTAGGGCCTTCAGTTGGATCTGCCCCATCATCTTGCCAGGCACAGAGGTGAGACTGACTGGCCTGTAGTTTCCTGGATCTTCTTTTTTTTTCCTTCTGGAAAATGGGGTTATGTTTCCTCTTTTCCAGTAGGAACTTCACCAGACTGCTGTGACCTTTCAAATATGATAGCAGCATGGCAAGTCTGTCTGCCAGGTCCCTCAGAACCTGTGGATGGATCTTGTCGGGTTCCATGGACTCCTTCAGATTCTTTAGATGGTCTTGAACCTGATCTTCACTTACAGCAAGCAGATCCACCTTCTCCAAACTTTTACTGTTGCTTTCTGTTTGGTCTCTGTGGCTAGAGCCCTTGTCAGTGAAAACTGAAGCAAAAATGTTATTGAGCACCTCAGCTTTGTCTGTATTTCTCTTGATCAGGCCGCCAGTTTCCTTTTGGAGAGGGCCCACATCCTCCCTTACCTTCTTTTTAATCACTTTTCCCCTTTCTGTCCCTAGCTAAATTTAATTCTGTTTTAGCTTTCCTAACCTGATCCTAACCTGATCTTTGAGGTTCCTGTGCTACTTGGAAGAGGAAGTTACCATCAACACATTCCAGGAGCCTCTTTGATTTCTGGTGCGGTGCTGTGTTGTCCCTCCCACAGATATCAGGATGGTTGAAATCCCCCATGAGGATCATGTTTTGTGAATGTGAAGCTGCTCTTATCTGTTTATGGAGGACCTCATCCACTCAATCTTCCTGATCAGGCAGCCTGTAGCAGACCCCCACTATGATGTTGCCTTCCCCTGCCTTCCCTTTAACTCTGACCCATAAATTCTGTCAGCTCCTCATTTATCCCCAGGTGGAGCTCCATGGACTCCAGATCATCACTGATGTAGAAGGCAACACTCCCTCTGCTTACCCCCTGCCTGTCTTTCCTGAAGAGTTTATACCCATCTATTCTTACATTCTAGTCATGGGAGTCATCCCATGCCTGCAGCTACTCCTGCTTGTTCCCCATTCTCTGCACACTGGTGTATGGGCACTTGAGTTGGGCTCCCATTGAGGCTGATTTAGCAGTTCAAGTTCCCTTATCTTGAACCATAGGCACTGTCTTACTGGCCTGTGATCCTACTCCAGGCCCAGGGCATCCATTATCATTGTCAGCCTCAAAGTACAATGATTTGAGGATCCCCATCCCTGGCAACTCTGGCTTGAAGCCCTCCTGATTAAATTGGAAAGCTTGCTGCCAAAGATGGTGTTCCTCTTGTCACACAGATGAACCCCATCCTCCTCCAGAAGACCAGATTTCTTAAAATTATCTCCATGACATAAGTAGCCAGAGTCCTGTTCACACCACCGCTCCTTTAGCCATTTACTGATTTTCTTAATTCTGTCAGTCCTTCCCTTCCACATTCCCCTAACCTGAAGGATTGATGAGAAGACAACCAGCCTCTCTGTCACATCCTTGACATGGACCCCGGGCAAGTAGCAGACCACTCTAGATAGTGAGTCATGGCAACAAATGGGTGCCTCTGTATCCCTCAGAAGAGAGTCACCCATCATTATCACCCATCTCTTTTTCTTAGTTGCAGTAGCTGTTACGCAATGAGGAGCAGGTTGGTCTGCGTTACTCACTTCAGATGACTTATCCATTATTGTTTCTTTTTCTATCTCAGCCTGGAGAATCGTGAAGTGGTTCTGCAGAGGTACCTAAGGCTTTGAGGCAGGTTTTCTCCTATCATTAGACTTTCTTATACTGCTTGTCTGCTGCCAGTCTGGAGGCCGATGGAGCCGGGCAGTGCTGGTGATCCCAGGGGAACGAGACATGGGCAGCTGCATGGAAGGCACCTGGGAACAAAGGCACAAGGGGAAGAAGTCATGGCAAAGATACTGCCGGCCTTCAGAGCTGCTTTCTATGGCCCATCCACGTGGCTCTGCTCTGCTTTAATGCATGGACATGCAGGAAGACCAGAGCTGTCAGTGCTTACCATCAGGAGCAATCAGCTCCTCTGAACATCTCCTCGTGTCCAGGTCTCCACCACACGCTTTCATTCATGGCTTCTAGTGGTCCACAGATGTGTGCAGCACCTACAGGTCTTCAGAAAATCAGATCATGGGCCTGATGAAGCTGAGTGTTCTGTGTGTCTTACCTGCACACCACACAGGCTGTCCTGAGTTCCACCTGAACTGGGCTGCACCCACAGTAAAAACATTCAGCCATGACTTTCCTATTTACCCAGTGGAAGATCCTTCATTAAAAAAGAAAAAACATATATCTTTATTTGTAGTGTGAGTATGCTTATTCTCTGCTTTTAGTATCAGATGCTTCTGTACTTCTAGTAAGAGATTTCTCTATTTTGTTTGGTCACTGTGGGATTAGCCAGCGCTAACCTTCTCTTGGCAAAGCTTATCCGATCAAACCTGCGCAGTTATTCTTCACTCTGACTTTATCTCATTAGATAATCCTTCCTCTGGTGCATGTCTGAGTGTCTCCTCCAGTTTAGGAGAATCCTTCTTCAGCTGCAGATGTTATTGGACGCTGCACTCGTGGCTGGCACGCTGCTGTGGGTTCACACCAAGTGCTGATGAGCCACGTGCCTTCTGTGTCTGCTTCCAGCACAGCTGTGCCATCACAGTGGTTGCAGATTTTGGTTGGACTTCACACTCATCTCTGTTACAGGTCACACTGTTTACTCCCAGTCAGGTTGCTTTATAAGAGCAATGACACCTCTCCATCACCTTCCCAGAATCTTTTTACCACCTGAAGCTTATCTGTGACCATTTTATACTTTCTCCTGTGTCACTGGCACAAATATTAAATAGCACAGAGCCAGCACACCCATCCCTGTAGGATCTCATTGCATCTTCATCACCTGGACATTTTTCCACCTAATCATCTGTCATGTTGAACTCATTACACTGTATTTTCTTAACTGAACTTAATCTTATGATACCAAGGAGGATACGTTTTTCCCTGGTATTGTCACAGTGCTTGCAACAGCAGCCAAGCAACATGCAGCCTCTCTGCAAAGCTCCTGCATAAAATTACTGGAAGCATTAGGTTGCTTTAATTAATGGAAAAACACTGATGCAATTGGAGAAATGTTTTTAGTAGTGGCTGAATTGCTGCTTGCTGCTTCAAAGCCCTTAAAGGAACAGCTGTTGGATCTTCTTGTCAGCTGAGGTACCCTTCCTCTTAGGCTGGAGCTGGTTCTTTTGGTGCCATTGGTGGGACTAGCAGATTAGGAAGAAAGGGGAGCAAATTTCTAGGAGAGCAAAATGAATGTCAGCCTTTAAGAAGCAGCCTGCTACTTGTCAGATCTTTCTGCTGAGAGGTAGCATGGAATTAAGGATCTGATTTGGGGTCCGAACAATGACAGACTAGAGACACTGGCACAATAGAGAAGCATGCAGAATGACCAACATGATCTGAAAATCACAGGAAGTTTGAGAAAAAGGAGTGAAAGATTAAAAAAAAAAAAGGCTGATAACCCACTCCCTTGTGAATGTGCAATGAGGGGTGGACTTCAGAAGAGCGTCTTAAAAAAGTGTTGAGACTTATGAACATAGGGTACCATTTTGTTTGTTTCCCTCAGAACTAAAGCCTCACTGACCTCGCCTTGATGCTGCAGATACCTGAGCTAAAAGTAGTTGATGTCAGAGTGCTTCAGCTTATTAGCAGGATACTCTGCAGTATCACTGCATCCACTGCATCTGTGGCAGTGTCAGGATGAGGCAACAACTACACTGATTTCGATTCTCCTTTGCAGGGGTGAGGTCTGATGCACAGATTTGTCTCTTGCTTGTAGTGCTCAG